TAATGCCTGTTTGTAACTGAGAGAATAATGACAGTGTCGAATTTTTACTAATGTTTACTTTTCATGGTCATGATTATGTGCAATTCGTTTTTAAAGATTGATTGGGTAGTTTTGATTTCCAGTGGATAAATTGGGGAAGGAATTATTCGATGTTAATTAATTAATCATCGTTTATGACCATGAAAAGTAGTCATTAGTAAAAATTCGACACTGTCATTATTCTCTCAATTACAAACAGGCATTAATTAATTAATTAAACTACTCTGTAGCATTGACACGCAGTTTTCCTGGCATTGTTCTCAGCATGAGAAGTTGAATTGAGTGTTTTGAGTGAATGTCCTGTAACAGATATTACAGCTTACCTCTTAACCGGCCTTACTACTGGCTTAGAGAGATCCAGGAGTGCGTTAACCGAGAGTCGAACCCCGTACCACCTGAGTGGTTGGGGAGCGTTCTGCCGCTGAACAACCGACGCACAAACAGATATTTGCCTTCTGCGAAATCTAAATATTTCTTAAGAGAACCGTTGCCCTTGATTCTGTCGACCGAGAGGTTCTCTGGCAATGCTTAGCTGTAAAGGGAATGCCGAGAAAATACATTGCACTGATTAAGGCACTCTACTCGTACTCATGCAGCCAAGTGAGGGCTTACGGCGAGTTGTTATCTGAATTGGTGACGACTAGTGGCGTCCGTCAAGGATGCCCATTATCCCCATTTCTATTCAACTTCATCATAGACGTACTAATGGACTTAACCCTAACTCACTTCAGAGACTCAGGGATTGACTTGCTACCAGGGAATAATCTCGATGACTTAGAATATGCAGACGATATAGTCCTTCTAGGCGAGGATGCTGACAAAATGCAGTCTTCTGAACACCTTGAGCAGCAATCTTCGTATGTTTGGCATGCGATTCGCCCCTGTAAAATGTAAGATGATGTTGCAGGATTGGACTACACCGACCCCTAGATTAGAAATAGGAAGTGAAGTGGTAGAGCACGTTGACCGCTTCACTTATTTGGGAAGTACCATCACCCCCAACGGGTTGATCTCTGATGAAATCTCAGCACGAATACAGAGGGCTAGTTTCGCATATGCCAGTTTACGCCGTCTCTGGCGAAGACGTGATATCCGACTATCGACCAAAGGGTGTGTGTACTGCTCATCAGTCCTCCTTTATGGCTGTGAGACCTGGCCATTGAGAGCGGAAGACATGAAAAGATTAGCTGTCTTTGATCATAGGTGTCTGCGTTCTATCTCCCGCGTGAAGTGGTATAATTGGGTGAGCAATATTGAGGTTAGGCGTCGAGTGCTAGGTAAGGCGGGGAAATCAATCGATGAGACTGTGAAATTACATCGACTGAGATGGTTAGGACATGTGTTACGTATGCCTAGTTATCGCCTTCCTCGACGGGCAATGTTAGCTGACATAGGGTCAGGCTGGAAAAGAGCTAGCGGCGGTCAAACCAAAACATGGTTTCATCAGTCAATGAAATCCACAACAACTAGTTTAAGCCACATAGGAAGGTGTAAACTTCCTGGTTGGGGTCCTCGGGACGGTAAAAACCAATGGCTGGAGACTATCGGTGATATGGATCAAAAGCGTTCTCAGTGATGGCGCAGATGCATCCACTCCTTGTGACTTATAATTTCCAATAAAACTATATTGTTCTTCGTTATTACTATTCCTTTGTCTCACACCTCTGTTTACTGTCTATACTATGCATTTCTCCTACTTTCTTCTTTTGCTTTATGTGCTACATGGAGTGTGGCGACTTGAACTGCTTCACATCGGTGCAAAGTTCTATGTCGAAAACCGACCGACCGACCGTTGCCCTTGACTTTGCTCCTTTAGGTTGCAGTCAAAGCTCATCCAGTAAATAAGGTTAAACACAAGCTAGCGATTCCAACCACTAAAATTTCGTATTGTGTTTATTTTCTGATGTATTATTTAACTCAGTCATATTTCCTAACTTTTCTTTTGCTCGTCATTGAAGTATGGACTATGATCCCCATAGTTTTACGCCGAACAAGTGGGTTGAAAGATGGGAAAAGAATGAAACTGGATGGCATTTAAATTTTGTACACCGGTATGTTTGCTTTTATAAGCTATTGTGTGTACTTTTCTAATGATAATTTTGTGTCCATTATAGACTAGTTGTAGGTTTTTAGGGTATGAACCGATGCATCTGCGTCAATGTTAAATATTAACTAAACTGTGTTAGCTACTGAAATTTTGAAGCATGAATGGTGTATTTTATTCATCAAGAGTACTGAATCGAATGGAGTGACTCCTAATATTACCGTTGGGTGGCACCAGTAGATCGTAATAACCCTTTCTGTTTTCGTCCTGAAGTGTTGTCGAATATTAAGCGATTACCCCCAAATAATAAGCGTCAGTTCGCTGAGTTAGTGATATGTAGGTTTTTTCAACCCTGCTTGAACAATAAACTTTGAGTAGTTGCTATCTGCTATAAAACGGAATGAATTATTTGAGAACGTTGAACTTTTCCCGGAATTGTGTCAGTTCAAAATTGCCCCACTTGTTTTGATGAAGTTGATTGTTAGATGCACTCATCGATATACTAGTCAATTTTCTAAACCTAGATGGATGGAATAAGTTTAAACCTGTCTCATGCTTGAATTATTGTGTTGCAGTTTATGCCACTTAAGTCTGCACGTGTAAGTATTCTCTGAACATCAAACTTTGTTTTCCTGAAGCATTAACTACTAGCTGTGTATCAGGCAAATGAGTGATTTCAACTATCAAGTCATGTAAGTAATCGATCTTCAAGGTTGTTCAATTTATATGGTGTTTTCGAATGCGGGCATGCAGTAGGTTTGATACTTAAGAATTCAGCTTGCATTTTGTCTTCACTGTCTGCATGCTAACTGATTCCAGACTGGTATTTTATTCTGTTTCTAGTGAAAGTAACAGAAATCGCTTGGGAAAACAATTCATGTGATTATTATTGAAAGCCACTTTCCAACTGCAATTCGTTGATCATAAGTTCATTGACAATTTGCGAACCCCACAAAACGACAAATAACGTTAAAAACCTGTACGCACAAAAAGTGTTAAGGCTACTTTAAACAAGAGTGTGACACAAATGCATCGTCTTATATTGCGACACACTACTGTGGTTTTGGGATGTATTGACTTTGATACACAGCTTTCAACCATTGGGTCTATACTTCAGATCCTGCCTCAGTTACTTTAGTCATTGCAGCTGAGAATTATCGGTAAATCTTCAAGCACTTCAAAGCTTGCAAATAGGTTGGACTATCTATAATCACTTCTGTTGTTATTAGAAATGGATGTAGTGAAATCTAAATCATACCTGTTGATTAAAAAATGTCTCTAATGTCTCATAAGACTTCTGAATGATGCCTTGGAGTTTGGAACGATGGGTTCTAAATTTTGGCTGCTTACCTTAAGCATGGGATTTTCGACCGACGTGTTTGGGACTAGAATCATAGCGATCTGCTTCAGTCTCAAAGATCTAGCATTATCATCCTTCACACAGTAAATTTGACTCATTGCCTGGTAAATGAAAAATGTCTTCCGGGTAACAAATGTGTAACTAACTGAGTCAGTTATAGTCTAAGTGAGATTACTGCTATTTACTAGGATGCAGGCTGACCAAGTCCCAAATAGGATGAAATATGCGTTCTGAATCATTCAATAGCGGGATATTACAAGTACAACAAGGAGTATCAGCTGCTTATTCGGAGTTGATGACTCTATGCCTAATCAACTGATGTAAGCAGGGTTTACAAAGCTTACTTTCATATTGGAGTGTTTTTCGAATATCGATTTCTTGTTATTTACGTGGACTCAGTCAGTGCAAATCACAGCAGTTGTTCGGAAGTTATTTGACTATCACTCAGTAGCATACATCGTGTATGAACTAGTATGTCGATTATCGGTTGTTGCTTTTTCTTCTCTATGTTCTTTACTTCTACCATCGACCTTTATGCCTAGGGGAAATAAAGTAACTCAAGTTTCAACTACTTTTGTGCCTCATCTTACAAGAGTTGGATGTAGAAGCTAGTGAAATTCTCTGAGTTTGACGTATTAGATGTAACTTAGTAGATGGATTCTCTCATCTGTTCTTTCAGTTATTTATTTCTCCGCAGATAAAATCTTCGAATAAAGTAAATATTATGGTTACTGTCCACTGACTTTTCTCACTCTTTCACTATAAGTTGGTAACAGTTCATGAGAAACACTGTACTTCACCATAGGCACACTATTCACAAATACCATCAGTTCAAGCATAGGGGTGTTATTGTATTCCTTTTTTACATTCAAATTCAGAAACAAGTGCGCTACCGATCGTGGTGATTAATTGCACTATGATATTTTTTGTCTAGGAATAACCTTATTTGTTCACCTACCCAACTAAAATCCGTCTCTTAGGGAGTGTAAATTTTTCATGATTTTGTAGGCGTCATCCTGATGAATTCAGATAGACTTCAAAGTCAAATTCCTGCTGGTTGCAGTTTGCATAAGTGTGTGTTTATCGGTAACGCCACATTGATCACTTGGCGGAATATAATTAGCTGCAATGGTTGAAGCCTACTGCTAAGTAATTGGTGTGTCATTCTGTTCAACTAATTATATTCTTGCATTAATTTATTTTGGCTTTAAATAAATATCTGTTTGGTAATCTATGTTTTACCTTGTGACTACTTTGAACATTGTCTATTTAGAAGCTTAACAACATTCTGGGATCAGTTATGTCCGGACGACAATCCCAACAATCGGTTGTTCATTCCACTTTGCGGAAAAACTGAGGATATGGAATGGCTGTATCAAAACAAATCATGCAAAATTATAGGATGTGATCTAGCTGAACTTCCTTTACGACAGTTTGTTAATGAGCATAAATCGTTGGATATGAAGGAGCGTTTAGTTAAGTTTAAAAATGGCGAAGAGATACTGATGTTTCATGTAAGTTGCATCCAATATTCACTATAGGATAGTTTTGTTTCAGACTAGTGATAATCGCTTATGTTTGTATTGCTGCAATTTGTTTTCAATGGAGAGGTAAGTCATTTCTTAGTTATTTGTTGCATTATTATTATCCAATTCAATTGGGTAACTTTTATGGGAAATGTGATTGATTGTTGAACTATTGAAAACCAGGTAACATTAGACGAGTGATTTATTACAGCTATAGGCTTCTGAAAACGACGAATGTAACTAATCAGACTAGTTTTAATCTCACTCTTATTTTCATAACGAACAAATTTGTTTTCTTATGGTGTCGATTTCTAAATCTAAAAGCTGTATAATTAGGCTGGTAGTATTGACCGATGGATCAGAATTTAGTCATCAGTGTTTTCTTACTTCAAATTAAAGACATGGAATCAGTCATCTGATTTCTTAGACCTTAATTTATTCAATTGTTATGAGAACTGGGGAGACTGTAGAGCTGATGTAGAGTAAATTGTCTGGGAATTCCAGCCATAAAGTATTCATTTTTTTTCTATTTTTGAAATAACCGGGTTTTCATTCAGTGAATCTGATTTCCAGTTTAAGTTTGTATAGACAAATTTATAGTTTACCCTGAGTTGCATTAAATTTTATATTTAAGGTATTCATGCAACAATGTAAAGCTTTAACAGAAATGTATCATTTCGATAAATGACATCGGTATTGGGAACATATTCAACGGGTAACTAACGTTCTTAATGTGTTTTTTCCATTTCTTTGTCTTCCGAGTACAAGTTTGAGCTTCAAAGTTTCAGTAGTGGTGGTATTGTTTGCTTACTGGTTGAGCTAGCCTCATGCCTAACCTTTCCTTCTTATCGAGGTTACTGCTGGCCTAGCAAGGTTAAGGAGTGCGTCAGTCGGGAATCAAACTAGGACCAATTGCGTGATTGACGAGCATTCAATCATTAAACCACCGTCGGTACACAAAGAAAAATGTTCTTACTATAGTTTGTGTGTAATATATATCTGTTTCTTAAAGGTGATATTTTTTAAGTGAGAATTTTAGTGAGAATTGAAACATATTGTTACTTAGAGAGAAGAGTGTATTTCAATTTTTGCCCGCCCCCCATATTACTCGACATCAAATCACTATTACAGTCTAAACTAGCACCATAATGCATTCAGAATTGGCTACAGGATCTCATCATAAGCTGACATCGGTTAGAGAACCATTGGAAAACCAGCTGGGAGTACTGGACAGATGCTTCGTCAGTCTAGTTTAGGACTCTTCAACAGTACGCACCCACCGGTGTTCGAGCCCGGGACCTACTGGTTACAAGGCAAGCTCGTAGATCATTCAGCCACTGGGCCCCGATCCAATGGCCCATGAATTCCAACTTCTGCCAATTCACGGCATAGGGCGACCACTAGCCAATGTCTTCGGCGAGTATTTGTCCTCACGCCCGACCTGTTGTACCTTGCTGGTCACGACTTCCCACTAGAACCCCAGGTAACTACCTACTCGAATGGGGTCAGTGGCTAGTGAGCATCTCATTGATACTCGCTTTGTGACCAGAAGGTCCTGGGTTCGAACCCAGGTTGGGTGCGTACTGATGAAGAGTCCCAAACTAGGACGAAGCAGCTGTCCAGTACTCCCAGGCTTTCCAATGGTTCTCTAACCAATGTCAACTCATGATGAAATCCTCCAACCAATCAATCAAATCCCTACAAACCAATACTTGAGCATTCAGAATTCTTGAGTGAGAACAGGTAAAAGTGCATCATATTTGAAGGTAAACACGTAGAAAAATACAATAACTATTTTCATTATATAACACTGATAATTTTCGTATTGCTAATTGAATTTTTCTGACCATGTATAAACACCTAATGATATTATTACTGTTTAATCAATGTATTAACTTGTCTTTTTGCTTTTCAATACCCAGTGCTCCGGAAGAACCGTTCAATTTGATATGGGATCGAGGATCGTTTGTTGCTCTTCCTCCAAACTTAAGGGCTGAGTAAGTTAGACATAGATAAGCAGATTTTCTATGATTCTGGATTTCAACTACTGTTCACCTAAAAATAGTGTTATGTACCATTCACATTTAAATTAAGTACATATGTTTTCAGTACATTTTTATAAAAATCCCGACCAATCTCTTAACATGGAATTAGAATTGCTAAATGTATAAAGTGGGGGTTTTTTTCTACATACATTGTAAGTCAACATAAATCTCTGGAATTCCTTATTTGCTAATTTTGAAGGGTCATTGGTCTAAGCACTCGACATTCAGCCACTCAGGTCATGGTTTCAAACCCAGCTCCACATACTGAGGTTCAGGCATCTAGGTAGTATCATCAGCACTCACTAAAATAGCTGTGGCTTCTTGCCCAAGATGTATGGAAATGCAAGTGGTTGTCGAGTCAAATTTTTTATTTCTGCATACAGCTACATCATGATAAAAATGTACCAAAACAGCAGAATGTGAAACAAACACACAAGTAATTATTTCCTTGACAAATGCTTTATTTATGAATAAGAGCGCTGGTGACTTTTCACCATAGATTGAAAATGCGTTCTATACCTGTTAAGGATGGGGAGTACAATTAAGCTTTTTACAAAGCGTACATAGCAAATTTATATAAAAGCATGATGGCATTTTCAAAAGCAGTACAAAACGGTTCATTCTTACATACATACATACATACATACACACACACTATAGTCGCACTTCTTGAGATACTTAAAGTGTTTAAATCGAATCCTAATAGACGCTGATTGTAGTCACTGCACTTACCATCAAAATTAGAACAAATTAGCACGGAAACTTAATTCATAAGGAAAAAAGGTTTTATTTTTGTTCACTGAAGAAATATCTCTTTTCAACGACTTCATTTACAAGCTGTACAGTCGTATTTATATTATGGAAAACGGCATTAAGTGACACAAGAAATTGTTCAGTCAATATCGCACAAATGATAAAAATAGAGATAATTAAAATGATGTACTAAGGGGGTGGAGTTGAAGTGGATGAATAACAAAACTTTCAAAGATTATTAAATAAGTGAACTGGTATAAAGATTTTAAAATTGTAGGTCAGGTGTCGTCTGAAAAATTAAGAGTACGATGATGATAACAATAAATAAGGTGAAGGTGAGTAAAATGGAATGAATTCAAGTGGTAAAATAGAATAAAATAAAAGAACAATACTATGACCAAGGTAAAGAAAGGTGTTTGACAAAACGTTTTTGAATGCATAATTTAGTTTTTTGTTCATGTATAGCTAGAGCTTCGGCTGAGCAAAAGTGGAGAAAACGTAAGCTTTTGGAGTGATTGGATTTGAAGGATAAATCACGTGAGGCTGAATGAGCTGACTGCAAAAGGTGTTCACAGATTGAAGACTTTGTCGTCCTTTGTTCACCTTTGATTAACCAAACCCGGTAGCGTTCGGCGTTTACGGAGATTACGCTTACATCGTCTAATGTAATCAGCTTCACACGAGCATGTGAATGAGCAAGTGCACTTAGAGGTGGACATAAGCAGCTGTTTGTCCTTGACGCATTGTCGAATCACATTTCGGCTGGTAAATACTAAATGTAAGTCAGCTGCATAAAAACAGCTTTTAATACATTTAGATAACCAACTTTTAATAACTTCAGCAACAGTGTCACCTTTGAACGGCAAACTCATAAACAGTGTCTTCTTTGGCACTGTGATTTGGTCGGGAATGGTTTCTTTCTTGGCGTTTCTGTCGATGAACCTTCTAGGATATCCATTATTTAAGAGAGTTGTGCGAAGGCTTTCCAATTCTAAGTTAACCGTATCTGCAGAGCAAATTTTCCGAATTCTGGAGCACAAAGAACCAGTAAGACTTCTCTTCCTGTTTAGAGGTACCCAACTGTTGAAGTTAGTGTATTGACCTGTAAATGTTGACTTTCGTAGATCGATGTTTTTAACGTGCCTTCCTCTCTTCTATCAGGCATCACATCTCAGAAGTGAAATGCAGAGTTCGACTTTTCTTCCACAGTGAAAAGTATGGATGAGTGAGAACAATTAAATTTTACAAGAAGCTCAGAATTTGAACAATTTTAAAATCATTATACCAGTTCACTTATTGAATAATCTTTGAAAGTTTTGTTATTCATCCACTTCAACTCCACCCCCTTAGTACATCATTTTAATTATCTTTATTCTTATCATATGTGCAATATTGACTGAGCAATTTCTAGTGTCACTTAATGCCTTTTTCCGTAATATAAATACGACTGTACAGTTAGCTTGAAAATGAAGTCGTTGAAAAGAGATATTTCTTCACTGAACAAAAAACTGTTTCTCATTATAAATGAATGGGTATATACTGCGATTAGAGTCTTAATGTCAAGTATTCGAAAAATAGCTTTCTTAAACTGATCAGTAACAGAGAATATTTATTAATTTTTCATATTTTCATTTTAAAGATCTAATTAAGTAGAGAAAAATCTTTTCCACTTGAGAAGTATGTAGTTAGCATGGAATCAAAATTAGCTCCGGCTAATAAACTAGGCGAAATTTTGGAATGCGTCAGGCAGGACTCGAAGCCGAACCTCCCGCGTATCTGGTGAGCATCCTATTATCGAAGCAATAATTCATGGAGTAAGCGTATAGTATCACCTTGACTTGGGTTATACTATTTCGGTCTAACTTTATCACCAAATCACTGAGCAGGTTAAGTATCATTATTGATTTATTAGAACGATAGGAATGTTTACTGTCTTATTTATCATTTCGGTCAGCACTGTTTATTTCATGGTGGGTTACATAGTAGTGAGTATACTACTGTTTGGTGCTGTTTATAAGTAATGTTCAGTCAATTGTCTGTGAGTGAGGTAGTTAATCCTCTTTTCTAATGATTAGCACCTATAATAGATTAGAATATACTTGTTTTTCAATATTGAAGGAGTTTTCTTTTAACAGGACTTTACCACTTTTCTCTTGCTATAGTTATTTTGTGCACTTCATAATGAGATGTTTTATTGTTGGTGTTGTTTTTATAGCTATGTGGCTCTACTTACCAAATTATCTACTGCAAATGTTCGATGGTTACAAGAAAGTCTTAATTATCCACCTGGTGCTCACAATACTGCTCCGTGCAGCTCAACTGACGAAGAGATGAAATCATTATATGGTGAGATGAAAGTTTAAATTTTGATTGTCAGAGCTATCGCAATCAGTAATCTTATGATTTTTAGCAGGTTTTTTTTTCAAAGACTGGTTTTCTCGTTTGTTTCAATAATTAGCTCATAAAGCTCAGCTTTATTCATTATTAAGGCGCAGATATGTTGTGTTCATTCTAACCTTATGCTCTTTTGAACATTCATATTTGTTTTTGTGTAAGTAATCTCAATTTTTGTACATTTTAATTTTGATTGTCTTCGAGGTCAAACACTAAGCGATTTTCGGTGTCTAGTGATGAATAAGAAAAGTCGTAAATTGATTGTAGATTGGTAATCTTTGTATAGCTGATCAAAGTCAATTAGGGAATTCATTGCAAAAGTATTTGTTGTTTTTATTTTAACTCATGGACTGTTGATTATACAGATAGTGAGTAAAATCAGTTACTCATCATTTCTGAGGATTATTCATTCAATTTTTTCCAAGGTTCATTCATCTTGAATACAAAGTGGTGATTGTGTCACTCCACTGATACATACATTTAATTTATTCCTTTCCCCATAACAAATAAATAGATAGTTACTAGCATAGTATCAAAGTTTTTACAACTTATTAATAATATTCAAGAATTGATTTGTATGGATTTGATTTGTTTTTCAAGTTTGACTACCGACTGATATCAGTTAGAGAACCATTGAAAACCAGGGAGTGAGTACTGGACAGGTGTTTCATTCTAGTTTGGGATTCATCGGCAGTGTGTACTCACGGGGTTTCGAACCCAGGACCTTAAGGTTACAAGGTAGGCTCGTATACCATTCAGCCACTGGGACCTGACTCAACGGCCCATGAATTCTAACTTCTATGAATTCGTGATTTTAATGTGACCACCAGCACTGGCGAGCATTTATCCCCACTCCCGACAGGATGGCACCCCACTGATCACGACTTCCCACTGGAATTCCAGGTATCTCCGTCCTTAGGCGGCTACACAAATCTTTTCCAAATCAGCAGTTCTTGAAGAAACTGAGTGTATACTGATTTATTTTCCACCATTAGTGAGCCTATTCCCTTTGTTTGCATTCAGTGATATAAGTATTCTTGTGTCATCTTTCTAGTTGTGTATAACAGTAAATTATCTTAAAATTAAATTAGTTTTGTCTAGGCTCACCTCATCCAATGTGGTAAAGAAACATTGATGAAGACATATCAAAGCTCACAGAGAATGCCAGATGCTTATTTTATTTCACCTAAAATACCCATTGAGTCAAGAAGGAAATAAAAGACAAATTCAGCGAAGAAAATTTTCTTTATCGACAAAATCATCTTCAGAGGCTGTACAGTTGTATTTATACTTACAAAAATACATAGTGGTCTGTTATTGAGTAATAGGGGGTAACATAATTGATATAATTACTCTGAAGTGCCTTTAGAAGTGAAAATTAAAAGTTGTAAATTACGTCATACTCAACGGAACAAATATAGAAATTTAATAAGGTTAAAATTGCTATTGAGTGAGAATAAAGATATTTCAGTGTTAATTTAACAAGTGTGAAGAGGGTGTGAAAATATACAAAAGGAGCATATGAGAGTGATAATAGTGAATTAATTATTAAAGCAAAAGCAAACTAAAAGTGAAATTAGAATTAAAAGAAAAAAAATCCAAAATATGTTTTATTTACAAGGAACGATTAGTGAAGAGGTTAAGACCAAGGTAGAATAAGAGACTGGACAAACTTTTTCTGTATACAGAGTTCAGGGTTGTATTGATGAATTGCCAACGCCTCTGCCATACACAAAAGCCGAAACCTGACGCCCTTTGTACCATTTGGCCTCACCTTGTAGATGATCTTGAAAGACTACTCTGGTGGAGCTATGTGGCTTGAGTTCACCAATTGCTCGCGAATTGAGCTGGTAACTGTCTTGCATTTTCCTTTTGCTAACCATGCCGGATAATGTTCAGAGATGCGTTTGGAAAGTGTGCGCTTTGTGCGGTTAATATAACTGGCTCCACACGAGCAGGTGGATTTATAAACACATATTGAAGTGGCCCAAAGCAGCAGCTTATCCTTCACACATCCATTGATCATTTGTCGGCTGCAAAAATTGATCCGTAGCTCAGCAGTAAAGAATGCTTTCCTCAGTGATCTGCATAAGCGATTCTTCAGGATCTCAGCTGCAGTATCACCTTTAAACTCAATGCTCATAAATAGCAGTTTCTTTGGCACTGTCTGGATTCTTTCAGTCTTTTGCTCTAACTTCATGTTTTTCACGATAAATCTCGGAGTATATCCGTTCTCTATGAGGACTTGTCTGAGTGGCTCCAATTCCCCGTCGATTGTATCACTGGAACATATCATTCTTATTCTTGAGGATGAGGAGTGGATCAGGTTTCTCTTTCTTCTCAAAGGGACCCAACTATGAAAATTTGTATAGTGACCATTCCATGTTGGTTTCCTGTAGATCGATCTTTGAAGAAAACCATCAGATCTCCTTTTTAGAAAAACATTCAAAAAATGGAATTCCGAATTCATCTCTGATTCCGACGTGAATTGGATGGCATGATAGCAGCTGTTGAACTCTTTAGTTACCGATTCGATGTCGGTATTCTCGTCACATATTTTTTACTTCTAAAGCCACTTCCGAGTAACTATATCCATTATGTCACCCCCTATTACTAAATAATAGACTGCTATACTTTCTATAGTTTGATTTGTAAGGATTAGTTATGTTTTACGAGTTGATCACGGACTGATATCAGTTAGAGAACCATTGAAAACCAGGGAGTACTGGACAGCTGCTGTTTCATCCTAGTTTGGGAATCATAGGCAGTACGCACCCACTGGGATTCGAACCCGGTGCGTACTGCCGATGATTCCCAAACTAGGATGAAACAGCAGCTGTCCAGTACTCCCTGGTTTTCAATGGTTCTCTAACTGATATCAGTCCGTGATCAACTCGTAAGACTGCTATACATTTTCGGTAAATATAAATACGATTGTATAGACTCTAAAGGTGATTTCATTGATAAAGAAAATTTTCTCCTCTGAATTTGGCTTATTTTATTCTTTATCGTGAATGATAAGTCTCTTCCAGTATCTTGTTCAAACTTATACTAAAAGTTTTCAAGTTGTGCATAAATTGGTTATCGTCAGATGGTATAGCTCAGTGACTGTGAGTTCTTAGTTCGGATTCCGCCCTCACCTACTTAAGTCTGATCCACTGTGTGGTATCATCAAATACAGCAATAATTGTAGATTATTATCTGAGGCATGGAAACTGTACTCCAACTGTAGTATCTTATTGTTGAAATTGGAGTATAAAGTGATAAAATATAGTGGCCTTTCTAAAATATATGTATGACTACTAGATCTATGTGTTCATATCTACTGTTCAGTGTTTAACATATTTTACAATTACAATTAGCGTTCTCTAATATTCCATCATTGTGTTATATTCAATATACCACTTGATTATTTTCAATTGGTTTTCTTTTACACAGGTAAAAACTACAATATGAAGTTGTTGAGATATGAAGATGTTAAATCTCATATTGCCCCAAATGCAGAATATTGGTATGTGCGCCTATTACTTCTTACTAAAAAACACTCGTGCTAAAAGCTTGTCAACTCAACACATTCTTATTACATATATCCATATATGAAAGAATGAACAGTCATTTTAAATTGCGTAGAATGCCTTTTTTCAACTGTCTGCGTGTATGGGCGTATTCACATCTTTGCTTTAAATAGTGTTGAATGCGGCGCGTAAGATAGTAAAATTGGATAGTGTTGTATGGATATTTTGTCATTCCCCCCTGTACACTGAGTTGTTTTTGTTACGTCTTTTAATTTTCTCAGAGTTTAACTCTTTGCCTATTTATTATTTTACTACTCACCTTGAAAGTGTTGGGTTTCGTTGTGTGCATCTTTTGGCGGTAAATAAACACTTTGTCTTCAACTGTCTTAACTGTTAGTGATACTTTAGTTATCAGTCCTCTAGATGTATTTGATGTGTGTGATGTGAATTCACAATAAATTGGAAATAATTCAGAGCAACTTATCTGTCTGTGCTGTTCTCTTCTTTTTTTTTAGCCTTTTTTTAGAGTATTAAACTCCAAATCTGGAAGACATTTGGAATATCTACATATAAAAGAGAAATTCACTAGAATTTTAGTAGTCAGTTAAGAAGTATAGGGCCTGTTTAGTCCTAAACGGGATGATTTACGATTTCATTTCATTTTACGGTTTCTCACTAGCCTAAAACAGCTTTAAAATCAAAGTGTAAAAGTGGATTTACATTCCTGAATCACTTCGACAAAAATGCCATCTACTTGTAGTAGATGATTACCTATTTGAAATCAGGAAGGTTTAACAGTTTATAAGGCTGTTCATACGTTTTGGGATCAGAAAATGAGGTTGAATGGTTGATTGAAAACAGAATAATGTTTATTTATTCCTTAAGTGTGGCACAGCGGTTAGGACGCTTGCCGACCATGCACATGGTCCGGGGTTCGAACAACGGCTGACGCATTCCTTTACCTCGCTAAGCCAATAATAAAAAAAGCTGGTAAAGAGGAAATGTTGGGCATGAGGCTAGCAACCCCATCCTATAAAAATAATCACCTCTGCTACAGAAACTTCAAGCCTCTAGCTTGAAGCCCTATGTTCCACTGGGAACGTGAAGGAAATATATATATATATCTTAAGTGTAGACAATTGTCGGATTTGTTATAGGCAAAAAGAGATAAGATAAGCAGAATTAAGATATTTTAGGTTCCTATACAAAATAATAATCGAGTGATGTTATGGTTTACAAAATGTTTCCTGGCACACATGTGGAACAGAAGTATTCTACAATATGGAAGGAATAATTAGGTGTCATTTAGGCATTACCTGGTCAGACCTGTTACCTGCTTATTCGTCGGTTCTGTATTACTACTGACGACACGCTTTTACGGTTGTCGAGGTCAGCAACAACAGTATGCTCATACAATTATTCCTGTGACAAATTTGAACAACGCAATATAAGAAACATTTTTGCATGAGAAGATGAATTCGTTTTATTTCATAGCATTTCTCTCAGTCACATACAACCTAAATAACAACATGAACTATATCAGCAATGAAAGTGAAATAATTTGAACATACTTTAACTGAATAGCCAGTTCATTTTCATAAGAGTAGGATATCATGACGAAAATGGAGGCGAAGTACATACTACACAAGAGGTAGGAATAGTCAAAATAGAGACCTTATTTGCTGTACAAAGAAGAATTTCCTGGTATTTAATGGTAATACATACACAAGTGTAGGTAGCTACACAGTCACGTGCGAAGCTATCCAAACGAAATGAAAGAGTTCAGTGCCATGAAGATATTAAGAATTATTAAGGAAGCAAATGGATTTAATTGTTGAGTTACATCACAAAAATAAAATTTTGACAACTTAGGGTGAAAGAGTCAGTGCTTATCAAAATAGAGACACGTTGGTAACAGTCTCCTTTTGCACAAATAACCCGAGTCTTATTCCTCGGATGGTCAGAGCTCCAGCAATTCGAAGTGGTCATGAAGTGCTTTGTCTGTTCGTCACCTTAAAATATTCCACTAGGTTGATCTGGTGTCTTGTATTAGCCAGGTGAAGAGCTGTAGCTCTGTTTGTCTGTCTGTCTGTTTTCACCATAGAACTTTGCACATATGTGCGGCAGTTCAAGTCGCCACACTCCATGTAGCACACAAAGGAAGAGAAGAAAGTAGGAGAAATGCATAATATAGACATTAAACAGAGGTGTGAGACAAAGGAGTAGTAATAACGAAGAACAAAACAGTTTCATCGGAAATCATAAGTCACAAGGAGTGGATGCATCTGCGCCACTGAGAACGATTTTGAGCCATATCACCAATGGTTTCCAACCATTGGTTTTTACCGTCCCGAGGACCCCAACCAGGAAGTCTCCATCTCCCAACGTGACTTAGACTAACTGTTATGGATTTCATTGACTGGTGCCATGTTTTGGTTTGACCGCCGCTAGCTCTTTTCCAGCCTGGCCCTATATCAGCTAACATTGCCCGTCGAGGAAGGCGATAACTAGGCATACGTAACACATGTCCCAACCATCTCAGTCGATGTAATTTCACAGTCTCATCGATTGATTTCCCCGCCTTACCTAGCACTCGACGCCTAACCTCAATATTGCTCACCTTATTATACCACTTCACGCGGGAGATGGAACGCAGACACTTATGATCGAAGACAGCTCTGTTTACTGCTGTTGAATCTCTAAGGCGTAAACTTCTGGGAACATATTCAAAATTCCTCGTAGTCAGTTCTGGTGTAAAACCTTTGCATGTATGAAGAGGGGCTTTCATCAAAAATTCCAAACAATTAGTCCCTTTTATAAATTTGGATATTGTTATTAGAAGACGGAGATTATCTGAAAAATTTAATGGTTTTGTGCAGTAGATTCTGTACAATCTGATCCCTCACACAGTTACTTGTCAAGTCAATTTTTATGAAAACTAGAGCCAAATGGAAACACACAAATTGACGTAAAGTAATAAAGAATAAGAATAATTGACAGTTCGTTTGGTTATCAGTTTTGCAGAGTTCATCTGTTTTCCTAACTACTTTGGAATATGCTCTGTCAACCTCACATGCGAAGTGCGAATCCTCCTCCCTTTGTATGTGTCCACACACACGTAAATTGAAAAGAAGACTATATAATTTTCAAGACCGAATTTCCTTGAATAATTTGAGCGGCGATTCAGTTCGAATCACTATAAATTATTTAATATTATCCCAGCGTGTTTAAGAAAAAATCAAAAGAAGATTTTTCTGAACATTTCGTTGTGTAAGCCATAGCTTCTTCAGCAGAATTATTCGTAAAAGGAAACCACTTCCATGCACTATTAAATTGTTAGATGAGCTTTTTACCCTAAAGAATGAAGTAGTATCTGGCAGAGTGAAGTTGGACTTTTACGAATCTTGTCTTTCACATCGCATGTTCCCGAAGACAATTTACAAATCTCTTCGATCCTCTAAACTGTCCAAATCTTATTCGTCTAGTGAATTCTCATACTGACAATTCCGGTGAGTAGTTGTGCGGATTAACTTAACTCCATTTATTACCTTCAAATATATTGTCTGACCTTTCCAAATTTGCCGTTAATGAAACCAAGGAGAATACTAGAATGACATTGCTTCGATCTAGTATCATAGACTATCAATTAAACTCATTTCCATTAAGGGTTTATTTATAAAAATGCTCCAGGGTGCTTATTGAAATATGCTGAGGCGATAGCTTAAAGTGACCCATTTTATTATTATTCATCGTATCATACTTTCACTGTGTAATTGGACTTTGATTTGTTTATCAATCTAAAGATTGCGTGTTAAAAATTGATACATTTGTACTCGCTCAACTTTTGAATTTTGACTACTGTGGAAATACACGTTCGTACTTCTTCTCAAGTGCCCTTTGATTTACGTTGTGGATGTCGAGTAATCACAACGTTAGGACACAATAATAAACGCATAGAAGTACTAGGATATACATGTACGCTAGTTTGGTCAAATAGAGCAACACAACAAGTCTTCGGATCAGGATAATAGGTTTCTTCAAAATCCAAAGTATACAACACGGTTAGTAGTAAAACAAGTAAACAGCATAGACTAGTGAGAAGACGAAGTGACCAGCAGTACACTGTATCTTAGATTTTAATTTGAAGTTATCTATATTCCTACATGAATCGTTTTAGACAAAAGTCGTGTACAATGTTTCTAATTTCAACATCTGACAAAAGAAAGTACAATAGTATTGTTACAGACTCCACAGGGGTCAAGTAGTTCTGTGCATGGGTAATAGTGGTATTCTACAACACATCAACTAGGAAGGTGACTTCGTTTTCGTTCCCTGGGCGGTAGCACGACGTGCTAGTAAAACAAATGGAGCTCGTTTCCAGTTGGTTCCAAATAGAAATAACTTTCAAGATTGTTGTGTTACCTCCTATCCTGTTGGACCTGAGCTTAAGCCACACTACCTGCTGACTTTTTAGTCTGGCCTACCTAACCTGGTGGCCAGGCTGTTCTTAACAGTGCCCCAACTAGTGAAGACAGAATATAACACTTACGGCTGCTTAAATGTATAATTATTAGTGATAATATGAATAGATTATAAGGATACATTATCGCACGACGGTGCAGCTGCCATGTCCTTATCCCTCGAAAATCATTTTGACCACCATGTGTTTCAATTCTCATGAATAAACAAGTTGATTTTTGACGGTGAAATGGAATTGGTCCAAATGATTTGACGAACGTTTTTTACTTTTTCAGAGGCTTTGCTGATCATTGGTTTTCATGCGGAGTTCCGTCCTATCTTGCTGCTTTTGCGATTGGAACTTATTGATTTTGTTGATTTGTTCACCAGCACTAATGCAGCCGACGTTTATATTTCTGGAGGAGTTCTTGGTGGTGGTCGGTTTAAGAATCCTTAAAAGTGGCCGGCCCATTTCGTTCCTTTGCTCCTTCACTATATTTCGTATATGTCGCTTATACTGATCTTTCCCCATACTACAACTTAGTAATCTCGTGTAGTCATGTGAGGTCTCTCTTACCTCTGGTTTATCTTGCTTCAGATACCAGTGTATCATGATATTTTCTCCTCTCTTTCCTAGTACTCTTCACCGCTTTATTCAGTGAGTCGTAGGCTGAAAAAACCCTTATTGATATAATTATAAGACTTGGGCACTGTGGTTGGGTATAACTCCATTAAGGATAAGATTTTATTTTGACAAATCACGCAGTATTGTACGGTAATATTAACTGATGATCACGTTTCGAGCACAAATTATTGCTCATAATCATATCAAGTCACTCACACAACTTTTTACTTCATTTATATACATGAGCAAAACCTGATTAGATATTTGAATAAAATCAATATAAAGTAAAGTACACTCAGAAATAATATTAGTGTTATCAATAAAATACAGTCAGATGGGAAATAAAATGTGTTTTACAGTAAAATAAGTAGCTTGTTAGAATGTCATAATA